ATATTGTTGCTTTGTTGTTGACTCTTGTTACTGTTTCTTTACAGATTATTACATATTTTGTTCACATTTTTTGATGCTGTCTCAGAAGTGTTCGTTATTGGTGTACTTGACAATAAGCTGACTGTAAGTCAACATTGTCTCTGTATAGCTCAATTACGATAATATAGCATAAAATAATGAGAAGCGTAATGAAATGTGATTACTGTTTGGCATCAAAGTTTCTGGATAGTTAGGTGCAGTTCGGAGCACAACAAATTACAACTATCTTCTGGTTTGTCAGGCAGGAACGTTATTTAATTGTTTTGCAGTGCGCGAAGGTACAAAATCATAATGGATTTGGATTTGAGCTAAACATTACCTGCTGAAATTAATGTGGAAGTTGGAGAATAGTAAATCTTGTCTGCAATGATATCGTTTACACTTAACTGTTGATAGCCGCAAAGATAAAGGTGAAAAATAAAGTAAGAATACGGTAACAAGTATTAATAAGCAACCAGTAATTATTAATAGTTATTTTTTTCTAAGACTGGCAGCTTCTAGGGCGTTCAATTATTATTTTCAAAACAGACTAGACAAAAAGTTAGGCTCATAGATTTCTAGTCTGAAATATTCACAATATGACTACTTTATTGGGGATGACCAATTCAGCATTTTACACGTTATTTGTATCACAAAGCGAATGACCATTAATTCCATAGATTATCGTTACCAAAATATTAAAAAATAGTCCGATTTCTTTTCACGTCATAATTAAATTCATAAGTTGAAAAAAGTGAATTGACGTAAAATTTTAAGCTGTTCAATCAATAATGGCTTATTTTTCAAGTAAAGAACACATAAAAAGAATTAAACTTGCAATTTATTAATATTAAAATACCAAAATTGCAGACTCATGTTCTTCACTAATTACAAAGCTTTTATTTTATTTTTAACAGACTAGCAAAAAAACAAATTTAACCTTTGTTAAATCTGAATATGACCTTTGCAATGCTTTAAAGATTGCAAGTCATGCATACATTGCGAAGCATACCTTTTAAATATTTGTTTACTCAAATGTGCTCTTTCGTTTTGCAATACATTTGCTCACAAGAGATACTTACTTAAATCGATTTTCGGAATAATTTCTATAGATTATTGATTATCACTCATCATTTATTGACATATACACCTCGGCGTGTGATAGAAAATAATTTCAAGTCAGAAAGAAACTGAAAGTGAAAAAACCTGTTGATTAGTGCTGAGTTAGGCTGCCATTTTGACTTCTTCAATCGTTAAGTTCAATCAGCCATACGTAACAACGAAACTTGTGATGGTAAGTGCTCTCGAGGTTTATTCCTTGTTAATTTCACGTTCTTTTTTCTCACACTTTCAATTTATGAATTAATTTCGATTATAATCTTCGATTCCTTCTTTACTTTCGATCAATATGCCATTTTAAACTATTACAATCGTTAAATTCTGAAATCCAGCCTTTTTCTTAGAATATTTTTAATTGCACATTGAAAAACATTGTTATTAAGACATGATCAGCTTGTGAAAATTGTACAAAATTCTAATTTTTTTTTCAATTTAATTAAAAGTTTTTTTGAAATATTTTTTCTCTCGCAAAACACACAACTTCAGAGACCTTTCAATGATCAGTATGGACCATATCCTGGAGGACAATGTCATCCATGTCCTCCACCACCGGGCTACTACTATCCACAACCTTGTCAGTAGTAAGTTTTGCTTGAAATTGCTGAGTGTTAAACAGCTCAAAGTTTAAAATAATAAAAACTTTAAATTAGCAAAAAAGAAGTATATTCTAACAAGTATTCATAGTCTAAAATCATCTATACACGTATTTGCTCTTTGATTATTTTCATATCTATGCGCAGTTATCTCACTATTTTGTGTAAATCGGATATAATTGAGTAGAGAATAGATAAATAGTTCAGTGAAATTATATGCCAAATTAATACTTTGTATTTTCAGTGAGAGGCGACGATATTCGGGATGTCCAACTTGGCTAATATCTTTATTTGCATTTTGCTGTGGTTGTTTTATTGGAGATTATTGTGACACAGATTGTTGCTGTTGTTGTATACCATGTCCAAGGTGCTAATTAATTAATTAATTTCAAGGCAATTATTATCCTAATACAACTTTGTTATCACTACAAATGATTATGTTCATTAACATTTTCATCAATCAATTTGCCAACAGTATGTAAAAAATATATAACATTCTGAATTCAAAATGTATGTCTCATACATCATCATACATCAGTAGCAACTTATTGCAGTAAAGATATTCAGTAAAAATTTTTTCTAGTATTTACAACGAATTTTGTCGTATACATATCATAGAACAGAAGAATTGCTTGATATTATCATCCAAGCTATTCTAATTGTGCTTCAATTCTAGTTTTCTTCAGTTTGTCAAATTAGTTCAGAGTCAGTGCCCAAGATACACTTGTGATTTTTCAATTCAATGTTTGTTAGCACTGACAGACTTGAAGCAGTTAATTTTTTACAACTGATTCTGAATAAACAGAATAAAGATATCAACTTCAAGCTCATCTAATTGTCACATTAATTCGAAGGTTTTCACATCAACGAAGGAAATTTTCTGAAAACGAACATTAATGGACAATTTCAGCAATAAAACATGAAATGTGATTCTAGCAAGAACAGCTTTCGAAGTTTGCAGTTAACATTTAAATGAAATTAACAACTTGCTCATTTGTAGTTTGTTATACACGTGATAATAAAGGTGAATAGTCGTATATGGATGAAGGTAATTTCAATATGATCTTAATTATCTTAATATAGTAAAGAAAAATATCTTAATAATCTTAATATTAATAATATCTGAAATCTATTGGAATCACAATGGATTGCTTGCAAATATTTCTAATCGTTTAGAAATTATTATAGTTAATAAAATGAATTAATCATTAAAACTTATATTATTTCCCGCTATTTCGTGCTTAATTATAACGAAACCTAAACCAAAAATTACAAATTATATCAAAAAATTGAACTCCTGCATCACAACATTTTTTCTTCCGAGAAGTTTTATCCATTCAAAACCCAACCTTTTCTTCTACAAAGCGTATTTACTGCCTATTTGTGCAACAGTACCACATTTTGTATTGCCTATTTGTGGAACAGTACCACATTTTGTATTGCCTATTTGTGGAACAGTACCACAACATTTTATATTGCCTATTTGTGCAACAGTATCACATTTTGTATTGCCTATTTGTGGAACAGTACCACATTTTGTATTGCCTATTTGTGGAACAGTACCACATTTTGTATTGCCTATTTGTGGAACAGTACCACAACATTTTACATTGTCTATTTGTGCAACACTACCACGTTTTGTATTGCCTATTTGTGCAACAGTACCACAACATTTTATATTGCCTATTTGTGCAACAGTACCACATTTTGTATTGCCTATTTGTGCAACAGTACCTCAACATTTTGTATACAGTTGTAATGGCAAGGAAATTGTTAGTTTATGCAAAGGAAAAGCTGAAATTAGATTGCCACTGAAAAGCTAAATTTTTGGGTCTTATCTTCAAAAAAGAATTGTACTTGAAGCACTAGTTTGAGATAGATAGTACTACTACCAAATTTTACTTCTCACAGAGTAATAACCAGCAGTAATGTCAACTATTTTGCTTCTTTCATTCAGGCTTAAAATCATTCTAAAACTGTTCCCTCAAGTTAGGTTTTGTTCGTCAAAAACTGTATAGTTTTTAAAAAGCAATTATGTCAAAGACTACACTGACTAGAAGTATCTTTAGAACACCATGTTCAGAACCGTTGTGTTGGAGGAGAGCAAATTTTAAAATAGCCTGACTAATGTTGACGGATTTACGAGGAAG